TTTGATCACTATAAGATTTCTTCTGTCATTGTTCCATTTTAATCCTTTTTTTTAATTTATTTTTTGCTTTATCAATAACTTATTGGTTTTTTTTTTTTAAAAAAAAACAACTATTGCCTCCTATCTATTTTACTTAATAAGGCAAGTTTCAAATTTTCCATTCTCTAAACTTAGTTATTTACTTACTCTTGTTATATTATTCCTGCATTAGGCTCAGTGTCTCCCTCTGATCCAGGCTGCATACAGAGATTAAGGGAACAGTTTGGTTATACCCAAGATTAGGTAAATCATTCCATCTAAACTATCTCTCATAGGAGGAATTGGTGGCACAACTTATTGGGAGGAAGCATTTACAAACTTTGAAGGTGTTGATGGGAATAGTAACTTGACTTGCAAGAGGCTGGCAACTGTAACAAAGTTACACAGTCACCTTCAGAATGCAAGATTTTTGCTTGTGTGCTCACCCCCAATGTCTGGAAAGACATCACTTGCACAACTCTATGAGAACTATTTACTCAATACACATAATGAACTATGTATATTTTGGATGTCACTTGTATGATTGAGGAGGGAGGGATCAGGCTGGGATTTTGCACAGCAATTCAAGGATTATATGGGAGGCTTGTCATGAGATACCTTTGTCTGTGAGTGTGACAAAGTACAAACAATACTGATCATAGATGAAATTCAGGTGTTATACAAACCAGAAGGTGCATCAGCCTGTCTATTTGGTGGTGACAAGTTTTGGGACACTGTCAAGAGAGTTCTACAGGGTGGTGGTCTCCACATTGTTGCTTTTGCATCCTATGGATATTGGGGAGCATATAGTGGACCAGGCCATCTTAAAACTATATCTCCTTTTGACTTAGATGAAATTAATACTTGGAATTTTGAAGATGTTCAGTATTCTGAACAAGAGTATGCAAATTTCTTTGATTTTTTTGTCACTCCAATCTGAAACTGCTTCCTGAAGGAGATGTCCCTTGACTTGCCAACTATGTGAAAGAAGAAACCAAGTGCCATCCTGGGCTTGTTTCTTTTGTCCTGGATGATATTGTTTTACAATTTCAACAGCAGCTAAAGCAGGGTGTGGAACCATTGACATTTGAGAAAATATTCAAATTTTTTCAAACAGATGATTGCTATCAAGGTGTTAAGGTGAGCAATGATTGAAAATTAATAGTTTGTGATTATAGAGATCTTAACTCCATTATTATTGTAGTGAACACATGCATGTCAAGAAGTCATAGTGACATCTGAAGAAGAATGACAACTTATTGACAAAGTCTTGATCCAACCTGGTGGTATTGACATTCACAGTGCAGTTGCAGACCATCTGATCAAAACAAATGTTCTTTCAGACTTCCATCAAGAATATTATTTGAGAAACAGGAAACTTGACTTCACATCACCACTAGTCCATGTAGCTTATCTTCAGGAACATCTTGGATCTAGAACCCATGTACACACTTTACCATATCCTTTTGAAGATTTTATCAAGAAGGTGTTTGAATTAATGAGCCCAGAGACTTTCAAGAAAACCCTTTGTGTGGGTAATGATGGTCAACTGCTGGAGAGGGCATGGCAAATGGAGTTTTACCATGCAGCAAGACAACTGCTTCCAAAAAATGTACATATCTCTCCAGATGTTGGTGCTGTTTTTGCTTCAGAGGGCTGGGTGGACTTTTATGTTGATGGTAAACATGATTGGATGATAGAGCTAGTTTGAGATGGTGAAGATCTGGAAAATCATCAAAGGAAGATGAAGGATGATGGGCTATATGGTTCAATTCTGAAATGTGTTAAGCGTCATGCAATTGTGGATATTAGAAGTGGTATAGGTAGACCCCACAACCTGAAATCAGGTGTCATTTATGTTGTATGTTCACAGGACTTTTCCAGTGTGGAAATATGTATTAATATATGAATATTGTATTAAAACAAAAAGAAAATTTCCAATACCAAACTTTGAGTATGCCATAGTGTTTTCATTTTTTAGAGTAAGTTAGGTTTTATTTTTCTAATATTTACATATTATATTTATATTCTAAATTTATTTATTTTCAAAGTTGGCAGTAATCACACAAGGTATTGCTGCATGTATTGCACATAAACAAGCTAGTTCTAGTGAAGCACAAAATTATGCTAGAATGTTTAAACCTATAAGTTTAATAGCATTGGAAATTATTGAAAAAAATAACTTATTAAAAAGCAAATTATAAAATCATAATTAATATACACATATTAAAATTTATTTTTTCAAAAGAAATAAATTATTAATTATATACAAATTTAATATAGTGTACATCTAAATCTAATCCCATTTTTGAGAATTTGGACTATACATGTTGTCAAAATCAATTTGGATTTGACTCAATTCCAAAATTTCAACTTTTGATTGTGACTGACAATTATTTATTAATTACATCAAAAAGCTTGCCTGATTTAGTCAAGTGATCAATCTATTTCTACCATATTTTTTTTTTTTTTTTTAAATTCAAATGAGCAAAAATAATTACATATATTAATTGATACTTGAAAATTTTTTTATATCTGACCCAGGTACCTGACCTGATCTGACCCAACCCGTTTGGAACACTAGGCTTTGAAATCTAACCAAAATGGAACATCTTGGAATTTATTTATTATTATTATTATTACAGTCAGGTATTAATCTCTTTTCATGACGTCAATCATTACAGGGCACTATCCCCGGCTGAATTTAGCCAATCAAAAT